AGAACCCAGCAAACAAAAAAGCAGACGTGGAGTATCAAGAGAAGAACAGAACCAGAGGGGTACAGGCAAGGTAGAGCTGCAGAGTGAAGGGAGGCAACTTAGCCTTTACTTCTGGTTCTCCCATATACTATAAAGTTGTGATTTTAGGCAAGTCATTTAACCTCTTTGGGTCTTAGTTTCCTCATCTGTAAAATGAAATTGTTCAAATAGATGATTCCCACCCCCACCCCCCAAAAAATGTTTTTAAATATCTGGATGATGAATGTGGCCACTGGAGATCTATTCCCAACCTGAGTGCTAGAAGTATCTGCAATCCATGGTAATATCTACTTAGACAAGGAGATCTATTCCTAAACCTAACAACGTACATACAATGGGCACTTGATAAATGCTTGCTGAATCAAACTGGTCCATAAAATTCATTCCAATACTGAATCCAATCCTAACGCTAAAGTGAAGATACACTTAGTTAATGAATACAGAAAACTATTCATTAAAAAAGGTAAAACTATCAAAAAATTCCATCTGCAATAAAACTATTTGATTATGAAATTTCATAGCATCAAATTTAAAACAAAGTAACAGATGACTTTTATATAACACCTTATAAAAGTGTTATACATACAACAAAACTGAGGCTCATAGAAGGCTTAATTATTAGCCTAAAACTGCATAACTAGTGAGCAGTAAAATCTAGATGTGAACCCAGGTCCCCAGACTCCAAATACACAGTGCTTTTTGGTCTATCTTATAGCTGGATGACTCAAACTTAATTTTTATTTATTCAGCCAGTCAACGAACATTTATTAATAGCTAGCATTTATATAGCACTTTAAGGTTTGCAAAGTACTTTACAAATATGGTATCATTCAATCCTCACAACAACCCTCAAAGGTAGATACCTCTCTGAGTAAAGACACAGGAGATACTGTGAAGGTAGAAACAAGGCTTAAAAACAGATTGGACGTGTAGGATGAATTCTAGTGAGAAGCTGAAGACGACTCTTCAGTTATAAGACTAAGTGAGGAGAATAGGGGTGTCCTCAAAAGTATCACAAAACTTGGAAAGAGTTCAAAGTATGAGGTGAAAAAATCCTGAGTTCTATTTTGGACAGATCAAGTTTGAGACGTCCAAAAGGCAATTGGTGATACGGAACTAGAGTTCATTATTTAAAAATACTAGAAAAAAATGCCAGGGAGGAAAAGGCCAATTTTCTTTGCTAAATATCTGATTGTCTAAGCCACATCCCATAAAATCTGTCAAACAGCATTACCAATTGATGTTGCAAATTTCTAAATGTTTGGTAAATCACAGAGGAAATAATAAGTATTTTAATCTGCAGTGGCCATTTTCCCTATAGGATAAAAATATGGTAATATTTTTTAAAAATAACTTCATGCCTAGAAATGCTCTATCTCTGAAACATTTGAAGTTCCATTAAGGTAAGCCTTCCCCCATAAAACCAACATGCTCTAACTATATAAACTAATAGAAAAATATGAATAATTTTTAAATGGGGGAGTCTCTAAAAGCATAAAGCTGAATGAGACCTCACCAAAGGAACATAAAAGGTGGCAAACATTCCCAAACCAACGCCTTCATATTTGATTCCTTACCCACAAATGACATCCAATAGGGAAAAGGGCAATTCAGGAAAAGTGAACTGTAGTAAAACTTCAATTATCCAGCATCCAGAAGTCTGGAAAGTTAATGAAGCCAAGAAAAATTCTGATAAGACAGCACCACCAAGAAAACCAAGCATAAAGTAATTTGCACCTGTAGTTACAAAGCACAACCTCACTTTAATGGCCAAGTAGCAACATCTTAAAGTTTACAAGATGATGATATGCCTCAATATAAGGGCACAATATGTAAGTAAAATGTCACACTCCAGCTGTCATGACACAAAGCTAACGAAAATGAAAGAAATAACTAAATGAAGCCAATAAGAAAGTATGAATGTTATTCAAAGGTCAAAGGGCACTGATAGTGAGAGTTAAGATAATGATTTTAAAGAGGATAAGAAAGCAATCTGGAAGAAAGTCATTTCTGCCTTTGAGTCAATAATTTTTCAGAAAGGCTGCCTAGTGACCCTACCCAGGTAGTCAGTCTGATGGCTACACATTTCACACCTTTTATCATACCTTACTCTTTTAAGAGGCATAAGTTGATATATGTGATTTTTTCAACAACAAAATAGGGTTCAGGGCTTGTACTAGGGTCAATACAAATTGAGCCCAGTGTGTTCCTTACTATTAAACATACATAATGACTAACTTAAGACATCCAGAAGAGGACTAACTTACATTCGGTAGAATGTAATCTCCCTGAAAGCGAGGACTCTCTTCATTTTTGCCTAATACAGTGTCTTACACATTGTATGTACTGTTTGTTGAACTGAATATGTACACTTCCTAAGGCAGTAAAATGTATAATAAATACAACTGGAAATATTGGTATTATAAGAGTTGAAATAATTGTTAATTAAAAAATTAGCCCTCAACTATCCAGAAACCCCAGCTCTCTGAAACTTTTCACCCTCTTCTACTATGACAGGTAAGTGAAATGTTGTTCTTTAAAGACCTATGATGAAACATTATCATAACAAAAATTATTTTGTGCAAGTCATTACATCTCTCTAGCTTTCAGTTTGCAATCTGTAAAATGAAAGGGCTGGAACAGATGACTCCTAGAGTCTCTCCCAGCTCTAATACTATATAACTTTAGGATTACAGGATTACAGCTGGAAGAGACTTTAGAAGTGATCGAGTTCAATTGGAGGCTGCAACAAAAAATGACCTTAGTACAGGAATGAACCACAAGTTAAGTGAGTTAACAATGTTATAAAATAACCAAGATGAGAATACTATTCAGGAGCTGAAATATAATTCACCCGCTATATAAGACACTAGTCATGTCATTATGTAAATATCTATTTTAACACAGCTATAAAAAAATTAGAGTAGGTATAGGGAAAACAAAAATGAATAAAAAAAAAACAGAAAACAGGACATATCAGGAAACATTAAAGGAGAGAGTTATTTAGTCTACAACAGTGTTTTCCCATTGTTACCCAAGACCACAAGGCATCTCTGGCATTTTTTTGAAAGTTTCAGTAAATATTCCGACTATATATTCCTTGAGGCCCTACTCCAAAAACATACCAAGAGTCAAGGTACAAGAGAGAATGTAAAATTCCAGAAAGGCTTCCAATCTTCAAAACATGTGAAAACTTCCAGTAAAATGGTTAGCAGGAAGAGGGAAGGTAAAGTAGTAACTGCCTTCTTGCTATCTGAGGAGTTACTGGAAGGATGACACTAACCAACTGTTTCCTACTTTCACATAGGAAATAGACTTCAATTATAGTGAGAGATACAACGTAAAGATTAGACTCTAGGAAGTAATTCCTGATTAAGTATTTTCCAAGAAGGAGGTTATCAGAACCTCCCTCCCTCAAAATCTTTAGAAATGATGTTGTAAAAGCTTTTGATTCAATGCCTTAAATTATTAGCCTATGCTAGTCTACTGCTGGCTCAAGAACATGAATGGAGAAGAAAACCATGCTCTATAAATAAGGCCCTGCCACAGGCTTCCCTGAGATCAAGCCCATCCTGTACAGACCCAAGCCCCAAGTTAGATGTTTACTGTCCTGCCTTAAGATAGAAGAGGAGGTAGTTTATTTGAAAGGTGAAACAAAATAATGTAATTCCTTAAAAAGTTGGAAAGCCTAGTGATTGGAGCTGTACCCCTCTAACTACTGGTCTTCAGAAAAGGATAAACCTTTCTCTGGAGAGCCCTAGACCCTAACTAAGATGGCAAGCAACAAATTCATGCTTGCTGAGATAATCACATCATCTCTGAATCCTTTTCTGGGAGTCCAGGATTTTACAATCTCAAGGCTTGGAAATCTGACAATAATAAATAGGAAACATTTGCCTTTAGTAAGTCAAGTATAATTCTGCCTCGAGGTAGATAACCAACTGGGTTAGATGACCTCCTGAGGTCCTTTTTCAGCTCTGAGACTCCAAGATTCTACAAAAATTTCCTTCCCCCTTCAGGCCCTCTACAGTACAGCCATACCGTACTATATGACACTCCATCTTTAAGTGCTTTTCAATTGACTGTCCCCTAGGCTTTGAATGCTCTCCCTCCCTTCTCATCCCTAACTCCTAGAATTCCTGACTTCAAGATTCAGTTTGATCATCACCTTCTACGGAAAGCCTTGCCCAGTTCTCTCAGCTCAGGTGACCTTACATATCTACTCTGTAACAGTACAGTGTGGGGCTGCAGAAAGAGCATTAATCTTGGGGTCACAGGACCTGAGTGTGAATCCTCCTAGCTCTACTGCTTATTGCCTGTGTTTCCTTCAGCAAATCCCTTCACACACACTTACCACCCCAGTTTCATCTCTTGTCAAATGAGGTTGGACTAGATAACTTCTAAGGAGACTTGACTTGTTACTCCTACCATCAGAACATGAGCTCCTGGAAAGTAGTGACTGCTTCACTTTTGTCTTTGTATCCCAATCAATTAGTAGAATGTATAATTAGTACAGCACATAACAGGTGCTTTAAAAATTGCTTGTCCATTGACCAAAATGAACAGGCATCATGGTGATCAGAGGATTTGGTGCTCCCAACCAATATTTGCAACTCACTCACTACTCCCTACCTTAACCCTCTGTACTAGAGACCAGATATGTACAGTACAAATCTATCTCAGTCAGTCTTCGAGTACTGGAAATCTTCTATCTGCTTTTATACCTTCCCTTCAAACTACACACCTAGAGAAAAGGACAATGTGAGAAATGTCATCTTGTGATGTGTTTGATCCTTAAAGGTAAACACTCTTACTAAATGAAGCAAGCCACCTAGTGAGTTAATCTTATTCTTCCCTAAACTTATAGCACAGAATTACAGAATTCTTGGTACTTTCCCCCTTCTTCTGGGTGCAAATGATATGTCCATTCCATAAGTATTTCAGAACATAAGAGTCCTTACTGTTTTTCAAGGCACTGGCAAACTCTGACCCGCCCTTGTCCTTGAAAATAGGAAAAACATCTGGTTGGGGAAGCTGGTTAGTTGTCAGCAGAGCTTTCTGCAGCTTGATCCTCCCTTCCAAGAGTTGGTCCCACAGCGCTAAGAATCAGGAAAACAGAAAGCCATCACTTAGTTATGATGTCTTTTCCTAGAAGAGTAATAATCCCAGGCCCCTAACCTACATAGTCCCACCATAGTTATTTGCCAAGTTAGTGGTTTCCCAAATTAGAAGACAAACATTGTTTTGGAAACAAATGTTCATTACATAGGAGTGACAACACATTCATCTGTGATTCCAAAACCCAAGAGGAAAAGAAAAAGATTTTCTTTAAGTCTGAAGCTGAAATTTAGTTGCCTCAGGTATTAGGGCAAAGCCAACTGTGCCACTCAATATGGAGATGACTGACTTAACATAAAGGAATGGGGCCCTAGGCCTCCAGATAAGTGGGGCATGTCACAGAGTAATTGGAAGGGCACAGGAGGGAGAGAGCAAACAAAAGAAAGTAGATCAAATGTGGAGATAGAGAAATTGGCAATCAGCAAAACCCAGGCACCAACCTATTTGGTTCTTCACAGCTCTTCCTTTCTCCACTTCCTCTGATACTTTGCCTCCTGAGAAGGTCCTCACTGTCTCATCATCATTTTTGTCTTTAGGTACAGCCTCCTCAATTTCCTCCCCGTCTCCTTCCTCATCAGTTTCCTCTTCCATGCTGTTTTTTTCTTCTTCTTCTTCCTCACCACTGCCAACATCATCCATTCCCTCAGTGAATTTTTCAAAGTCACTGATGCTCTGGAAACTAAAGCCTGAAGAATGAGTGTCCCTCTTCTCTCTTTGGCCTTTGTCTTCCAAACTACTTCCCCCATCATCACTGGATTCCAGCTCCTCAGCAGAACTCCTTTGTTCCTCATCAGACTCCACTAGCCCTGTGTTCTCTGACTCTTCATCAGATGCTTCTCTGTCTAATAAAGAGGAAGGAAAAAATGAAGATAAAATGAATATTACATGAAGAAAAATGTCAACCACAACCTCACAAATTTCCTCAAAGTCATGGCTTAAAGCTAATAATCTTTTCCCTTTCTTTCACCTTCTAAGGAACAGGTATAGATGGAAGACTTAAACACAAGTTACAAACTGCCATTAAAGCCTAGACACCAACCTGGTCTTTGTATCTTAGGAATGGCTTTTCTCTCTCCCTCTGTCAGAACAAGGGTACGTAATTATTACATGTGACTTATAGTCAGAGTATGCTAATATAACTCCCCTTTACTGGGGACTCTGGGCATAGCTGTACATTCATTCCATGAGCATTTGTTGCGGATCCACTAAATACAAGGCACTGTAGGAGATACAAAGATGAATAATGATCTCTGCCCTTGAAGAATTTGCAATCTAGTAAGGGAAAAAGGGAAAGTAGACAAATACCTAAAATACAAAGCAGCAAGGCACCCTGTGGGAGATGCAAAAGGCAAAATATACCAACCAAGTCAAATCACAACCATAACAACCAGCAACAACTTGACTATCATCTCCCTTCATATTCCTGATAGAGAAGTAGTCCAGGATTTTAACCTCCAAGAGCCTTGGGAATAGCAGTACCCCAAACCACCAGACCTGACTCTAGACCAGCCCCACATAACTGAACCATAATTGAGAAGAGAAATTCTTCAGGAGAAGGGCTCACTTTCTTCATCATCTCCATCACCCCCTTCTGATTGCCATCAACAATCAAAAAGGCACAGGAGTCCTGAAAGCAGCAGCACCCTCAGACCACAGGTCCCACTACCAGCTCATCCCTCACAGCCATGCTGTGGGAAGGTAATTGCTATGGAGAAGGGGCCAGTTATCACCACCAACTGCCATCCAAACCTGTCTAACTGAAGCAGCAGGGCACTCTGAGAAAGACAAGAGGCAGCATGGGCCAGACAAGTCAAGCTATCATCACCACCACACCTGGACTACCATCTCCTCTCAGACCCTGATGGAGAAAGCCCAGAGCCCTGGGCCCAAGAGCATTGGGAATAGTAATGCTTCCAGCCCAATGTCCTTAGTCATCATCCTCTCTGTGGAGATGCAGCCTGGCAACTGCTCCAGCAGGTATTACAGCCACAGCTACTAAAGATTCAAAAAGTTCTTGCCACCAAAGCCACTGGCTCTGTTGAATAATTCAACATCAGAAACTGACAAGATTTTACCAGTGGAAAAGACATGAAAGAAGAAGAAACTGATAGGATTTTGTCAATGGAAATGACATAAAGAAGCAGCATTAAATCTGCTTTGCTGCGGCACTCCAAGGACCATGAAAGACCTCTCTCTGAATCAAAGCTGAAACCTTCCTTTTGTGTCGTCTTCCCCATCAGAAGGGGAGCTCCTTGAGAAGGGGAGCTCCTTGAGAGCAGGGACTGTCTGACTTTTTTATTTGTATCCTCAGGACTTAGCACAGTGCTTTGACCATTAGATCTACTCTTCATTCATTCACTCATTTGAGAGATACAAAGCACCTCGTGCACTCAGTGAAAAAAGTTAACATCAAGTTGGGGGAATATCTAGGAAGACAAAGCATGTCTGCTAACCCTTCCCTTCAAGTAAGATTACAACATCTGGCACTGGGGGGAGCAAAGCAACTCTTCATCTTCTTCATCATGCTGCTCCTCCACCTACCTTGATTTTTATATTTTTTTGGTAATTTTTAAAATTTTTAAACTTAACTACAAAGTGAGAAAAGAAAAACAAAAATAAAAACACTGCCATGTACATGGCAGACCAAAAACAAAAAAATTCCCATTGCAAGAAAACCTATATAATAAATACAACACACTGTTTTCAAAGCTGCCCAGCTTTTCTTTGCACCTTGTTGGTTTTCTTTTGTTCTCTGCTGTGCACTTTTTATTCCCCCCCCCTTCCTCCTCCCACCACCCCAAAGAAGGCTACAATTAAGCATGGATATATATATACATATATTTATATACATATATATAGATGACTATAAACATACACATATATACATATGCACTCATACACATACATGTAAGACTGTATGAAGCTTATTTCCTCCTATCATGTTTCTCTGAAGGTAGACAGAATCTACCTTCATATGTCAATGTCTTTCCCTATTTTCTAAATCAACTAAGCTTATCATTTCCTATACCACAGCCATATTCCAACCCAATCACAACCTATCTAGAAGACTGTCTATGAAAGTTTTCCACCAATTTTCTGTATTCTTCTATTCCTGGCCATGTAGGTTTTATTTATACAAGAAAATTTTAATTTAAAATAATCAAAATTATGTTTTTTACACTTCAACAATGCTCTTATAATTTAAGGTCTAATACAGATGAATCTAATTCCTTTCCATCTTTTTTCCTTGATTTCTTTGAAGTTCCTGACCTTTTGTTCTTCCAAATGAACTTTGTTTTTATATTTTCTAACTCAGTGAAATAATTTTTAGTAATTTAATTGGGATGACATTGAATAAATAGATTAGTTATGTAAAATTGTCATTTTAAAAATTATATTAGGGGCAGCTAGGTGGCACAGTGGATAGAGAACTGGCCCTGGAGTCAGGAGGACCTGAGTTCAAATCCAGACTCAGACACATGATACTCATTAGCTGTGTGACCCTGGGCAAGTCCCTTAACCCCCATTTGCCTTGCCCCACCCCCCAAAAAAATTATATTGGCTTTACCTATCCATGAACAATAAATACTGCTTCAATTATTTAGATCTGAGATTTTTTTGCATAAAAAGTGTTTTATATTTATGTTCACATAGTTCCCGTGTCTGCTTTGGCAGGTATATGCTCTGGTATTTTAAATGGTCTAAAACAATATTGAATAATATTGCTGACACATAGTGTAGTTTTTCTATTTTTCACTTCTGATTAAATCTATTTTAACTTAACTTTGAGATCATGATTACTATCTCTGCTTTTTTTAAATACTAAATTTTACTTCTGCTCTTTACTTTATATTTATTGGTATCTCTCATTTTTATGTTTCCTGAAAGCAACTTACTGTTAGATTCAAATTTTTAATCTGCTATCTGTTTCCATTTTATGGGTAAGTTCATCCCATTCACATTCTAAGCTACAATTATTTGTGTATTTTCCTCCTACCTATTTTTCCTTACTATCCTTATCATCTTATTTACCCTATCTCTCCTCACTACTTTACTTTACTTCTACCCTGTACCTTGCCATTCTATTCCTTAAGCTACCCACCCCTCTAAGACCTTCCCTTATCCTCTTCCCCCCATCCTATCCTCTTGTCCTCTTATTTTTTTCTGAATTTAGAAGACTCTTACACACACACACACACACACACACACACACACACACACACACACCCCCTCACTCTCTCTCTTTTTCTCTTCTTCTTTAACCCATTTCTGGTTACTGTGTCCCTTATAATTGGTCTTATGTTTACCTTATATTTCTCCTCAATGTTATATATCAAATTTTCCCTTAAGTTGTGGGGTTTTGTAACAGAAACCTGAAAGTCTTTGAGTTTGTTAAATGTCCATTTTTTTTTTCCATTCAGGATTATACTTAAAGTTGCCCTTGGTCATAACCCAACTTTTTTGCTCAAAGACCTACAGTCCTTCAACTCAGTAGTTGCTAGGTCTTATGTAATCCTGATTGTAGCTCTGTGATATTTAAATTATTTTTTTCTTGTTGCTTCCAGTATTTTCTCCTTAACCTGGGAGCTTTAAAACTTAACTATGATAATCCTGTAAGTTTTCCTCTTGGGATCTCTTTCAGATGGTGATTGGTAGATTTTTTTTTTTAATTTCTACTTTGCCTTCTTGTTCTAGAACTTCAGGGCAATTTTTTTTGGCAATTTCTTGTAATATTGTATATTCTTTTTTTTAATCGTAACTTTCAGGTAGTCCAACTATTCTTATATTATTTCTCCTCAATCTGTTCTCCAGATAGGTTATTTTTCTAATGAGCTGTTTCACTTTCTATTTTTTCATTCTTTTGATTTTGTTTTATGATTTCCTCGTGTCTTAGAATGTCACTAGTTTCCCCTTGCCTGATTCTAGTTTCTAAGGAATTATTTTCTTCCTCAAGGAAGAAAATTTTTGATTCTCTATTTCCAGTTGGCTGACTTTCTTTTCATAATTTTCTTGGATTGTTCTTATTATTTTTTCTAATTTTCCCTCAATCTCCCTTATTTGATTTTCAAAGTCCTTTTTAAGTTCTTCCAAGAACTCTTTTTGTGCTTGGGACTATTTGACATTTCTCATTGAAAAAGGAGTGGTTTGGTTTTTTTTTTAGCTCCACTATCTTCCTCTGAATATGAACCCAGATCTTCTCTATCCCCATAGTAACTATCTATGGTTGGATTCTTTCTCCTTTGCTTACTCATTTATTTATTTACTGTTTTATCTTGTTGTTCGAAGCTATTAGTGTAATCAAATTGTAGTCTGGAAGTATTGGGAATGATGCCCTAAGCCTTAGATCCTTCTTACTGTTATTTTCTGAGATCTGTCTCAGGGCCCACCTTGGACTCTCTTCTCTACTCCTAAGCCACAGCTAGGGCCCCTAGCTACACTGTCCTGCAAATGATCTTGCTCCTTGAAGTCCCTCCAGTGGCTGCAAACTACAGCTGTCCTCTCTGCCCCACAACTGAAAACAGAGACTCTGCTCTCCTGCAAGTGCCCACAGTCAACAGGGTCTCTCTCTGCCCCTTGCGACTGCACTCACCAGGTGTGTGCTAGATCCTTCTCCCTGCAGCCACAGTCCAGGACACATCTGGTCAGCACAGCTGTGCTTGGCATCCCTGGACAGTGGAAGATCCTTCAATCAACTCAGTTGTCAGACTCCTTCCATTCCCCAGAAGCGTTTGCACTTCACTCTGGTCAAACCTTGGTCCCTGGAGGTTGGGTCTTTCCTGGGGTCTTCTCAAAGTGTCTCAGGAGGACATCTGCTTTACCCTGTGTTTATTTCTGCTGCTCTGAGATGTTTTGTCTTTTTTTTTTTTTGGTGGAGAAAATTTGGAGAGCTGAAAGTTTTCTGACCTACTCTGTCATCATCCTAGAATCCTCTCCCCCACCTACCTTGAGCTACCATGAGGTTGTCCACTTAAAATGGGAAAAGTATGAACAAAAAGTAAGGAGGTAAAAAAAGAGAACACCACATCCAGAGAATGACAAATGATAGAGTTTGGCTGGAACACAGGCGTGTAGAGGAAAACAGAAGATAGCCTGTACGAATGCAATGGGGCCAGGGCAAGAAGAGCACTGAATGAAAATCTAGCTAAAGAAACTTGGACTTACTTAAGAATGAAATAAGGAACCATTAAAGCTCCCAACTGAGAATAATATAATCAGAACTAGTCTTTAGGAAAACTGATATTGTCTAACAGGAGGGACTGAAGTGGGGGAGAGATTAAGACTGATGTAATGGTCTCGATGAGAGATAATCATTCATTTATTCATTCAGTCTTTCATATATTCAACCAACACTTTTAATGCCTACTATGTGCAAGGCATTGTATCAAGTGCAGTGGGGGAAAGAAAAATAATGGAGTCATGAGCCGCCAAAATTATAACATAATCTACCTAAATCTTGCAGGATCGCCTCTGCAGAGGAAAACCCTAGTATTTCAAAAGCCAAAGTGCAATAAAAAACATACAGAAATGGATCACGGATTCAGACATTCAGCAATTTCAAAATTTTGTATTAGGTATAAAAACGTAAATTTTTAATGGAAAAGAACATGAAAATGTTCTTTCTCTGAATGAAACTGAGCTTCCTCAACCTACTCTTTAAAAAGCACTGTTTCTCTTAAACTCTCAAGTGTGAAATACCCCTGATCCCTGTGTCTGAATGTCTCTCCACCCAGGACTGGTCTTCTCTTAATACAGGGCAGGGACTATCTTTTGCCTCCTTTTGTATCTTTAAAACTTAGCATAGTGCCTGGCAGAAAGTGCTTAATAAACGTTTAGTGATTAACTAAAGCATGTGGTAATTAACCCCTCCCCACCTAGTCACAAGATCCCCTCAAGACACGTAATCTGTCACCAGGCCTTTATTCCAAATCTACCTAGTATACCATGAGTTTGGGCCTTCATGGCAAGGCCTTTGAGAACATCCACATTACTATGAGACAGCAAAGGAAACCCTTACGGAATGAATGGTGACGGGTATCAGATCTGCATCTGGAAAGGAAATGCTTCCACTAACGAAATTCCTCTTCCAAACTTCCCTATTTCTGTTGAAGGCAACATCATTTTCCAGGTTCCCCAACTGGAAAATTTGGCATTATCCTGAACTCCTTGCTCTCCCTCACCTCACTCAGCCAATGAGTGTCAAATCCAGTCCTTCCTGACACAATGCTAGCATCCAATTATCTCTCCTCACACCTTAATTCTTATCACCTAGATTACTGCAAAAGTCTTTTCCTAGTTGCTTTCCTTGCCTCAAGTCTCTCCCCAATGAGATTCATCCTCCACACCTGTGGTGTCAAACTCACATAGAAAAGGATCACTGCAGGCTAAATAGTGACTTAGAAAACCACACATTAACATTACTTAATGTTGTATGAAATTGTTATTGATTTTGTTAAACACTTCCCAACTACAATTTAATCTGGTTACTTGGAAGAGTTTGACCCCTCTGCTCTCCACTGCTGTCAAAGAGACTTTTTAGTGAAGTATCATCCAGTTACCCCCCTAACTCATTGAACTCCAATGGCTCCCTACTGCCTTTACGATAGAATATAAACTCTTCCATTTAACTCTGAAAGCCCTCTACTACCTGGTCCCCAACCTATCTTTCCAGATTCCTGGTATATCATTCGCTGTGATCCAGTCAAGCTAGTCACGCTATTGATCCTCACACAGAACACTCTTGTCGTGAAGCCTCTGCATTGGCTCTGCCCCATGCCTAGAACTCACTTTCACCTCACCTCTGCCTCGCAGCTTCCCTCTTTTCCTTCAAGATGCAGCCCAGGCACCATCTTCTGCATGAGACCTTTCCTGATCCACCCAACAGCTTGCACTTCATCACTCTGTATTTATTGGTATTTTTTCTATACATATTTATTCTCTACATAATTACATTTGTCTTTGTTGTCTTCATTAGAATGAAAGTTCCAATGTTTCACTGACTGGATGTATTACTAATGCCAAACTGCCTGGCAGATAGTATGCAATTAATAAGTACTTATTGCTTAATTGGCAGGTCCAACAAACTACTCAAGTCTATAGAAAATAGGATGGTTGGGTTTTACTGCCTAGATGGAAAACTGCACAGAAACACAAAGCACAGAGTAGGGACCCAACTATGTAATCAATTTACATTTGAATAAGCACTAAGCTAGGACTACCAGACTACCTCAGGAGGTCCTTAGTTCACTCTCAGTGCATTGAGGCACAACATGCAAATCAAAAATGCACAGGAAAAAATCAGTAGTCCCTTTTTGGGAATGGAATAAGACACACACACACAGAGTACTGACCTAGGAAATCAAAAGATCAGTGTTTCTAGTCCAGGATCTGCCAATAACTTGGTGTGTGTGACCTTAGGTAAGTGAATGCCTCTCTCCAAGCATTTTGTAGAAAATTAAAGCAATGGTCTAGATGATTTCTAAAGTCTCTCTCAACTCTAAAATTCTGTGACTCTATAGCAAGGTATATATTTTTACAGCAATACTAATTCTTCTGTCACAGAGATCAGGAAGCCACCTTTTCCCATCCTCTGTACATCTTATTATTGATCCTTAGACCAGTTTACAGCTGAAGAATAAAAAACAGGGTAACCAGATGATCCTAGAGCTTAAATAAGGAAAAAGTCCAGCTATTACATCCCTAACATCGTGTAATTTCTTTGTCAGGGACCATGAGTTCACAATAAGACAGTCCAATGTTTTACCCTGCAAATGAATACCCTGGAATGAAAACATTCCAAATGGGGACACCATTTGACCACCATCTTCAACTTCCTCTACTTGACTTGCCACTCCTCTGGAAAACTCAGTGCTTTAAAAACATTAGTTTATTCATTCTCATAAGCCCCTTTTGGGGAGAAAGAAAGCATGGATTACTTTTATTTTTACCAATGATAAAACTAAGTCAACTAGTATGAAACAATGGTGGAGCAGGGAAACAATCTAAGCAGTCAATATCCCAAGTAAGAACTAAGCTTACCAGAACATAATGCTTCTCTAGCATCCCATCTGCATTTCCCCATCCCTACTCAACTACAGGACAGTCTGAACAAGGAGATACTGCATCACAAATTCTCTCTAAAGTCCAGAGTTTCCTTAGCTTTAAAATAAGTGAGTTGGATTGGACTTCCTTCCAGCTCTAAAATCATATGATGTCTTCTAAGACCCTGGGGAACCACAGCACCAAGCTCTCCTATAACACTAAAACTAATTCCTAACTAGTCTTACTGCTCCAATTCATCCTACATACCACAGCTATGACAACCTTTCCAAACCAATACCTCTCATACCTGGCTACAACAACCTATCTTTCCAACCATCTCACAATACTTCCCTTCACATATTATGATGCAACCAAGCTTAATTAATATTTCCAAAACATATACAATTATTTTCCTGCCTCTGGGCATTTGCTCACATTGCTCCCTCTACATAGAATGCCCTCCTACCACTTCTGTCCAGTGAAATACTATTAATCAGTCTGGGCAAAGCTCAAGTCAAGCTCAAATGCCACTGCCCTCTCCTCAGCCAGAACTGATCTCTCCTTTCTTTGAATTCTCACAGCATTTTGTTCATAACCTTCTTATACAATTATCACACTGTACTTGGTATTTGCCTACATATCTCATCTCCCTTGCTAGACTGCAGTTTACTTGATGGCAGGGTTCATATATCTCATTTGAATTTATATCTTCCCTTAATGGCTTATATATGGTGGCCAATATATGTATGTTGTTGGATTGGCAATTCTCAAAGGTTTTTATCCCCAAAGAAACAGGAGATAGGGAGAGAAATAGTAAGATATATGTAATGTCTATCTCACCAGATGCTTCTGATAGAGGCTGTTCCCACAGGTCTTCTTTCAAAGCCTTTCGAGAAGTAGTCTTGCCTGAATATCGTTTGTCTGTATCTAAGAGAGAGGCAAAGGCCCTTTTCCTAATGCTTCCCACACGAGAGAGGTCACTGTCTTCTTCTTCACCCTCATCAAATCTGTCAATAACTCGGGCAGCAGTGGCTGAAAGAAAAAAAAGGGTGGGAGCAATTAAAAAGGTCCATCATCAATAGCACAGCTATCCACACATGCCCTCTCATTCCCATTACACCAACTCTAAAATGTCACCCAATACCTGCCTACTCCAAAGTGGAGCCAAGCAGCACATCAGATTTCAACAAAATGCATAGCCCCAATTTATTTTCTTAGGACCCACCTGTATATAACCAAATATGCTGGGGGAGGGGGGGGTTAGAGGAGGGAAAAGACCTAAACAACAAACCATATACATGCTATACACGGTAAATTCAGAAAATCATAAGCTTACAGATTCAGAGTTGGAAAGCTTGTCAGGGGCCATTTGGCCTAACCTCCTCACTTGACATATGGGGAAATTGAGGCTCAGAAAGCCTGACTCGCCCCAGGTCCCACAGTCAGTGAATGACAGAGGTAGGATTTGTACCCAGGTCCTCTTGACTCCACAGCTAATGCCTGCTCTTATTTGCATGGTCTCTCTCTCATTAGAACCTAAGTTCCTTGAGGGAAGAAACTGTCTTTGCCTTTTTTTGTATCTCCAGCATCTTGAACAGAGCTTGGCACATGGCAGAAGCTTAATAAATGCTTTAGGCTGCCTGGTTTGCCCAAGGTCTCTAAGCGCCTACGGGATTCTAACACAGTTCCTGTGACTCCAGCACTTAGGTTGCTGCCCCACGACAACCAGTTCCACAGGAGGGCCTCCTGCCCAGGCCTCGAGGCAAGGCAGCTGAGGGGTACGCCAGACACCGCGGACCCCACCAAGAAGCTGGGCCGCGGGCTAAGAGCTGCCCTCGCCCCTCCCCCAGGCACGCGGCGCTGGGAGGGGGGCAGAGGGCGCCCACTCTGCACGTGGTCCCCGGCCCTGCCAAGCCTCCGCACTCACCCTCCTCGGGATCCGCCTCGGGGTCCGCCTCGCTCGGCCGCGGGTCCAACAGCTGCTCCAGCTGCCGCGACAGGAGCTGAGAGGTTGCCATGATCTCGGGCCCCAAGCCTGCCTGGTCCTCGCGCGTTCTGCCGCCGCCTCCCCAGCAGCCGCTCCGCCAACCACCTCCCCGACTTCACGCTCGCGGACAGTGGCTCCAACACCGACAACTTCCGGGAGGCGCTAGGCGCAGGGGCGGGGCAGACGGGTAGGGGCGGAGCCATCCGTTGCGTCACGACAGACGAAAGGAGGGGCAGGGAGAAGAAGCGAGAGGGAAATTTAACGGAGACTACGTATGCGCGTGCGTGCGAGAATACGTGCCTGTGAGCGTGCGTGCGTAGGGTAGGGTAGGGTAGGCTTTAGGGGTGTGCGTAGTTGCGTGCGCGCACTCTCGGTAGCCTAAGAGGACGATGTGCTTGCGTGTCTTTCGGTCTGTTCTGACGGTTCCAAGGAGTCCCATCGCGGGTTGTGCGGCGTTAAGGGTGCCCTTGACGAGTAATAAATAGAGAAAGAGGAAGGAGGAGAAGCTGGTGCTTCTGGAGCGGGGTTGAGCAGTGGAGTGCGGCAGGCGTGTGGCAGGCACATCTGGCCTGCCTTGGAAGAGCCTGCACAGGGCATCGTCCTGCACGCCACATTTTCCAGGCTTTTTATCTAGTGTCACTTGGCTCTTTGTTGTTCCTCAAACAAGAAACTACGCTTGCCCACTCGACATTTTCACTGACTCCCATGCCTGAGATGCTTTCAACCTCTGCCTCCTGGCTTCCCTGGTTTCCTTCAAATCTCAGCTAAAATTTCTACCTTAATTCTAGTGCCTTTCCCCCTGGTAATTACTTCCTAATTACTTACATAATTGTTTGCGTGTTGTCACCTCCATTAGATTGTGAGCTCCTTGGGAACAGGGACTATTTTTCGCCTTTCTTTGTATCCCCAGCGCTTGGCAAGGTGTCTGGCACATAATAGGCACTTAATAAATGCCTATTTACTGTCATCACACTGAATTCATTCAAGGCACAGAGGTCATCCCAGATTCTTCCATCCAAGGATGAAGTCAACTACAACCTTAGGCATCCTGAAACAAAAGTGTGGAGGCATTTCCCACATACAACTAAACATCCATAAGAATAATTAACATTTACATAGCACCTTTACAAAGTACTACAGTATAGTACAATACTCATGCGAGCCAATTCACAACCAAGAGATAAGTGCTATTATTACCCCCTTTTTACAGAAGAGGAAAGTGAGACTGAGAACAGTTAAGTGACTTGCCCAGAGTTCACAGCTAGTAAGTGTCTGAGGCAGGATTAAGATATAAGCCTTCCTGACTCCCAAGTCCAGCACTTTATCCATTTCACATTACCTTTCTGTGTATGTATTCATACCCCTACATGCCCAAAGACACAACTCAGGATGCACACATGAAGATAAGTACACACCAAACACAGATAAAATAACCTCTCCTAGGACAGACAAATAAGAGTATGCACTAAGGACAATGGTTAAGTCCCACACACCTTTAAGTTCCCCTTTTCTTGGATCCACTGAGGGTCCCTTAGTCAAATCAACAAGCATTTGTTAAGCACTGTGTGCCAGTCACTGAGCTAAGTGATGGAAATACAAATACAAGCAGAAAGATAGTCTGTCCCTTATATACCACCTAAAGGGGACTTGAAAATGTATGTGTGGGAGAAATGCTAGTACCCTGCTTGGGGCATAAATGTCCAGAGTGTAGAGTGCAGTCTGGAGAGGATTGAAAGTATGGCTGACCTGGACAACTTCAAAATGGCGGCTTTCGGAGCAACCAGCCAATCCAAGAGAAAGGCCAAATGGGTGGACAATGCTTACAATGTGTGAAGACTAGAGGTGGTAGAGTGAACTCCCAGGGTGAAGAATTTTTTTTTTTAACAGCAGGGCAGAGGAAATCCAGGAAATAAGAAGTACAGCCTTAGTCTCTATGACTGTGGGACAACAGAAAGTCTTTGGAAGTAAATCTTGCTTGGGTCACGCACAAAGACACAAAATCTTTAAAACAAAGAAGTCTTTTTAAGAAGTAGAAACAAAAGTCTTTCTCAGTTCCTGGCTTACAAGATGACCAAGAAGAGAAGGAACAACAGGTGCTCCAAGAAGGGTTGAAGCCATGTGCAGCCCACCTGCTGCATGCCCAAGGACAAGGCAACAAAAGAAGTTCATCATCCACAACATTGAGGAAACAGAGGCCATTAGGGCCAGTGTTTTGGACTACTATGTGCTGCCCAAACTATATGTGAAACTACACTACTGTGTGAGCTTCAGGATCCACAGCAAGGTGGTCAGGAATCGATCCCTTGAGACACAAAAAGATCAGACACCCCCACCCTGCTTCAAACCTGCAGGTGCTGCCTGCAGACCCTCTACAAAGCCCATTTAAAGATCTATTTGCCCATTAACGTTCCTGAACTGATCAGAGGAAAATAAAATGTTTGGTCTACCTTAAAAAAAGAAAGAAAAAAAAAGGTAGCATGAAAAGTGGAAGAAATACTGAAGCCAGTAGACCTGGGTACAAATCCCACCTCAAGACCTGGGTATAAACCCTACCTCCAGGCTTACTACCTATGTAACCTTGGGCAGATAATTTAATTTTTCTGGGCCTCAGTTTCCTCCTGTGTAAAATAAGAGCATTTAACTAGATGACCTGTAAGCTCCCTTCCAGCTCTATATATCTGATCCTGTGATCAGATCCTAGACCTGAGTGTAATCAGACTTTATTCCAGATCTACAGAAAGAGACAGGTGTCTAGCAAATTCCTAGTGTCTGAAAGTGCTGGATCTTGGGTGCTAACTGAGCCTACTTTGTCCCAGAGCTTAACTTTGGGATGCATTACATGTCCCTAAAGGAACCTCAGGCATATTCAAATAGACCACAAGTTTTGTACTCCATTCTATCATTCCTCCATTCCACCCTCTTCCTAAAGTAATGAATAACCCTCCTTATGATCAGAATCTTTCCTCAACCTAAGCAACTCTCAAAGATTAGGTTCCTGAAAATTGGAGAAGCAAAGGAAGAAAGGCTAGCTTTCCTAGAACTGATCTACCTGGAAGATTTGGAAGGTTGAATAGAAACTGCTGGACACATGGGTATCAATCAAAGTCTGGAAAATGATTCAGGAATTCAGAGGCAGTTTTTACCCCAACTCTTGTGATAGTTTCCTTATCTATAAAATGGAGATAATGGCATTCTCATACCTACCTTACAGGGTTGTTGTGAGAAATAAATGAGATAATGTGTTTAAAGCTCTCTATAAATGTAATAATAACTACAGTAGCTAGAGGTGCCAAATCTGTGGCCCTGAGGGGGTATGCTTACTTGTGTGTTGGTGTAGACTACTTTTCTTGGCAACCCAAACTGCTTTTAAATGAAGAAACTTCTTTTCCCACTTTCATTTTCAAGAGTATCTCTGTTATTTCTCCATTGCCAGCTTTCTCTCTTTTCTTAATATTAGCATGGATGTAGATTTATTAGATGTCACCAAATTCAACCCCCTCATTTTCATATGAAGAAACAAGGCCAGAAAGATTTGCTCAGTCACACAGTTAGTAAATAGCAGAGGCAGAATGCAAAGTCGGGTCTCATGATACCAAATCCAGTCCCCTTTCCTTAAAATCATGCTGCTTTTTGCTTCTGTGGGGGTTATGAACTCTTTAAAAAGTGACCATCTTGAGGAGGGAAAGAGGAAGCAGTAAAGGGAGGAAAGAGAATAGAGGTAAAGACTTAGCATTTACAAACATAGGAGTTTTCGGGCATCATGATGCCCATGGGTGATGGGAAGGAGCCTATAGAAATAATCCAGAGCTTTTTTTTTTTTAAATCAGGTCTGACTTTTTGCAGTTCCTAATTCTCTTTGTCTTCCTCTGGTAAGACTAAGGAAACCAACTCTTATTTCCCACAGATGGCTGGGTCCTGGAGCTTGGGCATCAAAGCACAAAAGCTTCTAGACTTCTCAGCTCTCTGACACCCAGAATTGAAGTTAGAGAGCCCCTCCACCCAAGAAATGGGTAGAGGGAGAGAAGCTCAGGAAGCAGTTAGGTATACTGGAAAGATCATTGGATCTACCTGGTTTTGACTTAACTCCAGTGCCAAATACTAGTCTGACCTGGGCCTCAATTTCTTCACTTGTAAAATGAAAGAGTTTTACTAGAAGATATCTAAGATCTCCTTCAGTTCTAAGTCTCATAAATGCTACTTGGCCACCCAAAGAGAAAAAAAGTAAGAGCAGCTAAGCCCCAACCACAGACTGCTGGGGCAGTTGAGGGAATAGAAAGAGGAAGGGCCTGGAGAATCAGACACCAGGCTTAGGGAAAAACAAATGCTCACTCCCCTGCCCCGATACTTGTCTCCTTACTCTGAATCACTGAAGCTGCCTATGTTGGGGTATGGGGGTGATGGTGGCCCTCCATATAGAAGGCCAAGGATGCTTATAAGGTCCCTCAAACTTGACTGTGAAAGCAAAGAGAAGGTAGATCACCATCACTCTTTTCTCCCTCCATGAGAATATGATAGTAAGGGACAGGGCAGAGCAGAGAGATCAGAGACTGAAAGCAGGAACCACAAACACAATCCTTTCTCTTGCTATGGGTATTCGCCCTCTGTCCCCTGGCTTATGCCTTTAGCCGACCCTCTATGTTGAGCTCCACCTTCCCTTTTCTAGTTCACTAACTCATCCAGGGGACTTTACTTAACCTTTGCCACCTAAGTCTCTTCCATCTGTACTTCCAGCCCTCACCAGCACCACCCCCTAAGTCTTTTACTCCTATTTAGGTCTCCATTCCCCCATAAAACCTGTCCTGATTCTCTCCCTTCTCCCTGATAGGGCCTTGTTTTTCACCACACCTTTCCCATACACACTTGGTCACCACTTCCCTTCCCCTTTTAAAGCAAATCTTCAGCCCCCACAAGGCTTAGAATAGGGGTGGAAAAGAGAAAGCCCTACAGTTCTGGGCACAAGCAGACCTCTCTATTGGTAAATAAACTTTCTCAGAAAGAGATCCAGGCTACATCCGGAATAAAGAAAACCAGTCTAAGATGGCTACAGGGAAAGCCAGATTTCATGACCTAAGGGTGAGGGGAGCCTCCCCCCCTTTTGACCTTGATATTTTAAAACTATCAAATGTCTCCACTCTCTTGCTGGTCTCACCACTTCTACCCCACAGGCTCGGATGTGGACTATGAATTGCTCTCCCACTACCTTGTGCCCAAGGCATTCAGAGCTCTGATGGGAAAGGGAAAGGACTTTGCATCTCCCAGTTAGCTACACTCCTGGGTTTTCACTGGGATTGACCACCTGTTCCAGGTCTTAGCCAGGGCTTGGATTTCTGTTCTTCTGTGTCTGTGTGTATGACAGACAGACTGAGAGAGGGAGGGAGGGAAGGAGGGGGAGGGGGGGGAGAGAGAGAGAGAGAGAGAGAGAGAGAGAGAGAGAGAGAGAGAGAGAGAGAAAGAGAGAGAGAAACTGCTACACTGGGAAGTAAGAAACCATGAGTCCACACATTGTGTCTAATGGTAAAATGCTTCAAATAAAATACCTGATTCAACAATAAAACTGCTAAATAATTCAGCAGCTCTGATATGAAAACCCTGCTTCCCAATGAGCATCCATCCAATAAAATGAATTCCTTAAAAAAAAAAGGAAAGAAAAGAAAAGAAAGAAAGCCTTTAATGAATAAATTGCCAGGGATTTAATGCATATAAATGCAAAAGTCCCCCCCCCCCAAAGCCAATGTATCTCATAGTGCAGATAAAGAAATTAGTTGTACACAGAAACTATGAGTTTCAAAAAGTCTCTCTGGTATTTAATAAATTCTGATTTTTGAAAGAACACTGCCAGATCCCTTGTAGATAGTTTCTATTTTACCTTATTAGATAAGACAGCCTGTGGATATAGTGAAATATTACTCACTTTAAATGCTCTCCTCTGGCAGACAGATAAACTCAGTTGTGTTCTTAACAAACTATGAAAACAGCACTGGAAATTACATACCATATAATGTAAAATATTTTTATTTTTTAAATAAGAAAATAAATAACCCAGACTGGAATCTGGGAGATAAGAGAGGATGAACTATAGAAAAAAGCTGGGTCTACATTACTTTTCTGACACCTGGAGAATAATAGACAAACTCATACCTATTCAATAGTAGGTAAAATATTTAAATTTCCCTCATATCTAATGAAGTTTTGGAAAGGATTTAGATATTTTCATGGCTGAAATTTGATTTCTGTACTAATGTAATGATTTTTGTTCTTCTTGCAGAGAAACTCAATAAATATCCAGAGTCAGGCAAACTATGCCTCCACTCACCCCCAAACTTCAAATATAAAAAATGCTATAAAAACAATGATTTCTAATCAGTTCTGAGAAAGGGATTAAAATATTTCATTTCTACCTGCACTGTACATTCATTTTGTTATCTTTCAAGTTACCAAATTAGAAAGCAGGATTACCTATGAGAAGCCAATTGAACTGAGAATCACCCATTCCTAGCTATATATTTACAGATTTCTAGCATTCATGATAAAGTTTTTATACAGGCTAAGAGAAAGGGGAAGCAAGCATGCAGACAGACTGAATGACTAACTTTGGATTTTTTTTTTTGTGCCTAACCATAGACCCTCCAACATTCTCACTTAGTCATGGATTTGGTCTGTTTTTCCAATTCTGTATTAATTTATCAGTGAACATCTCTTCCACTGTATTAGTCAAGTCCCCAAATGCAAATCTGCACTTATTGACAGGAGGAAGCCACAAAGAAACACTCTGCTTGCTTGGGAATGGGTCTCAGTAGGGGTGGGAGACTGAAGGAAGTGTTAGCCCTCTAACCAAAGCACCAGACATACTCCCCCAAATGACCTTTCCTCTTTCTGCTTCAAATTTACCCCCCCCCCCCCCGCCTCGGTGGAGACCATTGCACTCATTACGAGGATTCCCTTCCACCATCAAAAGAGCAAATTAAACACCAGTTATCTAAACATCAGATTTTCTATTTTTATTAAAAACTCACAAATTTATTCAACATGTTTTCTTTCATACAGTGAATGGTCTAATATGCACTGGAGGTCACACAAGCTTAGGTTTATTAGAACAATAAAAGACATATGAGAAATTTAATATATAAAGAAAAAAGTAGCAGCTGTTGACTGCATATTTGACCATAAAATTTAAATATTTTGGACTTTTATTTTAAAGACACAAAAATAAAACCTGTGTGGGTCTATATAAGTCATATTAACAACTCCATGAATGTTCAACAGGACTAAAAATTAGCAAAGATGTTTTCTTTTTCTTTTTTCTTAAACCTTGTAACACTTTTTTTTTTTTTTTAACACTCTCGGGTTGCTGGTGCCAGGCACCTTACAGTATTTGTGCTATAATTAGTTTATTTGGCAACTGTCTGAATATCATGTTTTCTCTTTGCCTCCTGTAAACAACACCTTTTACAAACTAGCACAGTGAGCCGAAAGCCCTGCGAATCTGTCAGAGAACATCTACAGAAGACGAAAGGAGGGAGGGAGAAAGGGAGGGAGGAAAAAGAAAGGAAAAATTTTGGTTGGTTGCTCAAAACATTTTGCTTTTTGAACAAGAGGTTTCAAAACAGGATATATTAGTAAAACACTGAACTCCTGAATTTAACATCATACGTAAACAGTTGACTGTTTTTTTTAGTTCAATAGTCTTTATTTTGTTTTTTAAACTTTTCTCGTGAAGGTAGAATACTTTCTTGTATAGCTGTTGTTTCAAGTCATTTTAGTGAGAGGTCTGGCTGGAGATCATCCTAATGAGGGTGGGGTGTGTGTGTGTGTGTGTGTGTGTGTGTGTGTGTGTGTGTGTGTAGCTGTTGAAGGTAGAGTGGATGCTGAGGGCATTTCGTATTTCTGTTATTTTGGCCGAAAAGAACCGGATAGACAGACAGACAAAAAAAAATGTCCCACCTGATGCACAGCAGGTCGGTGTTTCTGAAGCTAAAAGTCTGTTGTTTGTCGCTGTTAAATTCTGAGAGACAAAAACTAATCGAAGGTTTCCTAGAGCTAGAAGCTTCGTTCATCCTAGCCCAGAAATGAATGCTTCAGGACCGGCCTTTTTCCTCTCCCTGACTCGGATTCGCTTCACTTCCTCTGATATCCCCGACGAGTTTGGTTCTCGACTTGTGTCGGTGTCCTTTCCTCTCCACTCTGTGCATCCTGGGCGCCGGTTAGACCGGCCGATCGTCACCCTCATAGCCTCCCGGGAGCTGCCCGGAGCTGTCCTTAGTTCGGCTATTCCTTACAGCTCGCCTCGACCTTCCGCGAGCTCACTGGATTGCCGGAGGTGGCTCGGCTCCTTGAGTTTTTACGCGAACTGGGGAACGTTTTTGAGTTTGCGCCTTAGTCTGGTTCACTCACCCCAAGTCCTGCACGTCGCCCCCGCATCTGGGACTCCAATCCCGTCTCCGGGTGCATTCGGATCTCAATTCGCAGTCACCAAGTCTTTCCTTCCCTTCCTACCACACCTCAAGGAGGAAAATGGTCTCTTCGGTGGGAAGAGAGGAAGCTGCTTGGGGGCTGGTTCTGTTTTTGTTTTTTGTTTTTTTGTTTTTGTTTTTGTTTTTGTTTTGTTATTGTGTGTGTATTTTTAATAACGACTCATTCCTGTACAACCACGCAAGTCCAGAGGCGGCAGGCAGCTTGGCTCAGGAAAGGCCCCGGCTACCACACCGCTGCTTCATTCATTTCGGGAGGGTGGGAAAGATGGTTACCGTAGCTGGCCCCGCCGTTGACAGACAGCGAAGGGAAGGGAGGGCTGGGCCCGAAGACTTCCGCCGACATGGAGTGCAGGGGTCCAGGGAGATTGGGCTCCGGGCTCGGAGAGTCTCCAGGCGGATGAGCCAGGATGTCGGTGAAGCGCTGTGCCTCGCTGGATGGGTGATGGCCGGGCAGGGGATGATCCAAGCCTCCCAGGGGTGTCCCCGACGGGCCGGACGACGGCACAAAGGGCAGGTCCACGGGGGTCTGCGCCTGCGATGAAGGAGGGCCTTGCGGGAAGAAGTCATAGTTGCCCCCGGGGCCATAATACTCACTCTGGTAATCTGGAGGTAACGAAAAGGAGGTGGGGGAAAGCGGGAAAAGAGAGGTGTCAGAGACGCGCATAGCGGACAGGAGGGATTGCAAGGGGTCCTGGTGTTGGTTTTGCCCCAGATAATCCGAAATTAAATGGAAATTAAAAGGTAAGAGCCCTAGGAATCTGAGCCACCTGCGTCAAAGATTCTCCCAGGTACGGAAAGATGATGGAGCTGGAGGAATGGGTTGTATGTATAAGTAGAAAAGGAACAGGCTGGGATTATTTCGCGCTCCCGGGAGCAATGCACTGCCCACATGTGAGGAAATGAGACCCGCTAGGGCCGGAGAAATAGTAAAGGTGTTTGCTAATTTGTCTGCTAGCCCTGCAGCGCACAGAGCAGATGTGTAAGCACAACCGGAAAACTGAGGGAAGAGGAGAGATAGGTAAGAATTTTCAATTTTGCTAGCCCAGAGCGCCTTAGTCTCCGGTTCCGGCAGTTTTCACCCCGCCCCCACCTCAAACACACACACACACACACACACACACACACACACACACACACACACACAGAGACACCGGCTTTATTCAGAAGCAGGAACTTTGCCCCTTATATATCACCATCTCTTCCTCGCACCCTAGACCCAATATATTCTCCCAAACTTCCGATTTCCCTTTGGAAAACAGTCTCCTGAATATTCCTGGCGCCAGAGCGACCCCTCTGGGTGTGAGGAAAGGAGCTCAGGCGGTGACACCCTGAAATGAGATGTTCAGTCTCTATCACCCCCCCATCTGCCCTTCCCTCGGACCCGCTTAAAGCGAACTGAGTTCCTTCCGGCTTCTCCCCTCCTCCAGTCCAGAGCCCTTTACCCACCTCCGTAGAAGGAGAAGGGTCCATTGGGGATGAGCTCCCCCGGCTCCAGACGGTCCACAAGCGGCCGCATCCTTCGTGGGCTGCGGAAGAAGGCGTGGCGCCGGGCGCCCAGAGCGCTCAACTGTTTCATTCGCCGCTCCTTGGACCGTCGGTTCTGGAACCAGACCTGGAGGTGACAAGGCGCAGGCAACTGAGACATAAGGCAGAGTTGGTTCAGGAGTACAAACTGCGTCTCTCTCTTTTCCCTTTCTCACCCTCCTACCACTCCCTGGCTCCAGCCCTGACCCTTCTTTCCAAGGAAACTTTTTCTCTCTCTACAGACAGCCATGGTCACAGCCCTGTCATGGTCACGGATGCAGAAACAGGGACCGGTCGCCTTGATCCGTGCAGAACCCAGACCACCTGAGACTCGCTGCTTTGCCACGAATATAACAGGGGTGCACACGACACACACTAAGCCAACACAAATTCACCGACAGGAATATATGCATGGGCAGGCGTAAAGTTTCAGATTGTGAGACAAGGAATGACAGTTGGATTGGATGAGCTTTTAACATTGGGTTGTATGTATCCGTTTCTAACACATTCTCATAGACACAAGCTTGTGGACCTAACTCCGTTCTCTCCTCAAACATACACATAGTTCCAGACACAGGAGCGAAGATACCCAAAACCCCAAATGTAACAATAGCTCATACACACACGGAGCCTCCCAACCACATAATCTCAAGCTAAACAGTCCTACTCATATGCAGTCTCACATTTTCACGCCACCAAAGTCCCATCTGACCCCAGATGGCTGCATCCCCACCTCTCCCTCCCAGTCTCGGCCCCAGAGCTTGCTACCGAAGGAAACAATCTTCTGCCCTGACCATCTTCACCCCATCCCCCACCCCCGTGCGTTCCATTCCCTTTCCTTTTATAAGAGGGTGAAAGAGGGGGAAATCTGCCCTCCTTTTCCCTCAGCCATCAAGACAGGGAAAGAGATAAAGAGGCGAGAGACAGACAAAGTTGGTTCTGTAAGTGAGGGAAGGCGATTATTCCTCCTTTGCTCACAAACAAAACCAAAGTCCGTCAGATTCGCCCATCACTCATTAACTCCTCTGGGCTCAGCGGCTCTTCCCGACTGGGAGAGTCAAGGAGGGAAAAGTCAGGAGTTCAGACCTTCTGGACTAATCTTGAACCAGTTCACTAGGAGCAATAGGCCAGGCAGTCCTCTGAGGCTTTTAGGGGAACCGGACCACGTCGGCTCGCACTCTGGCCAGATTTGCTTCTCTTCCTCCTCCCTCAATCCCCTGGCTAGAGCCACAGCTCAGCCTAGTTCAGCTCGGCAGTGACAGTCTCCGCCCCTCCTCGACCCCAGGGCCACCCCCTCTTCTCCCCCCGCCAGGGGAACGGGCGGTAAGGAGAAGTAAAGCGCGGGATGGGTATATTTCCTGCTTGGCTCTTGAGTGCACGGCCCTTCAAAGGCCAAGCGGAGGCAGGGGTGTAGCGCCGGTTCCTCAGCCTCCGGCTTCACTCCCTCTCTCCCGCCAGCAAGACATACATCTTATGCTATACCAGTCTTCACTTTCTCGATTCTCCCCTTCCTTTCTCACTCCCTGGGCAAACTTGGTTGATTACAGAGGGAACCGAGCTTTGCTCTACATGCAATCAAGCCCTTCCTTTTGAGAACTTGTATCGGAAAGGAGAAAGGGAAGGAGTGAAGACGCACATACGCATCACACTCCTGAGTCTGAGATCTGAACATCACTCCCTGGGGCAAGCAGGGCTCGGGTGGGACACTGTGAAGCACCATACCCACCCCGGGGACAGACTAAAAATGCTCCCCATCATTCCTCTCTTCCTTTCTGGGTTTCTGACCTGGATGACCCGCATGTTGAGGCCAGTCTCCTGTGCCAGCTGCTCTCGAATGTGACGAGTGGGCTTGGGAGTGGCGGCGAAGGCAGCCTTGAGTGTCTCCAGCTGCTTAGCCTTGATAGTGGTGCGCGGCCCCCTCCGCTTCGCACCCAGGTTCTGGTCGTCATTCTCGTTGCTACCCGTCTCTTTGTCCGACACATTGGCGCTTTCGGAGTCCTTGGCATCGTCCTGGGACGGGTCTTGGGAGTCCGGGGACAAACTGGGGTCACTTCCCGTTGTGGCTGGAAAGAGGGAAGAAACTGTTCATCAATGCCTCAGAACTCACCTCTCCCATTCTCACACCTGTGGGAGGGGGGAGGTGAGAGAAGTCTGGTGTATGCTCGGTCTCCTCAGGCCCTGTCATCAGATTTAGCTTGAAAGTGCCAGTCCCCTCTTCCCCTTTCCCGGTGGGCCTCTAGGAAAAACTTCCAGGGTGAGGGATACTACTCCCCAGAGGCTGACAATAGTGGTGTCTCTAGTTTGATCTGCTCTGCTCTGGCCCTGCAGGCCCTCCCTCAGCCGCCGTCCCTAGTTCCCCTACTCCTCCTGTACCCTCACCCGAGTGCAGGCTGTTCTCTTTGGCGGCGCTGCTGTTACTTAGGTAATCTTCTTTACAGACGAATTTATTTTCGTCTATAATGTAGAGCTCCTCCCCAGTGGACAGCTGCTTGTTACACATCATACAGGTGAAACAATTCAGGTGGAACACCTTGCTTCGTGCCCTCCGCACCAGGTCACTGGGGGAGATGCCCTGTGCGCACCCGGCGCATTTGGTACCGAAACACCTGCAGGAAAGACAAGGAGGGGACAAAATACAGAGACAGACTGAGCAAGGTGAGCAGCAGGAAGACAGCATGAGAGATCGGGGGAAAGGCAAAGACGGAAATGGGAAGAAAGAGGAGGAAACATAAAGCAAGACGGGTAGACTGAGGGACCCTTAGAGATGGACACAAGGACTGAGAAACGTGGGGGCACGGCGGGGAGGGCAGAAACGGGGGAAGAGACAGAAATATGGAGACTGATAAACAGAAAGAAGTGAGAGAGCCGTTCGAAAACCACACAGAAATGGAAAGACCCTCACAAAACGCGAGCAGGATGGAGCAGGAGAGACAGAAACAGGGAGGAGAGTCCCGAGGCGAAGAGACAGAAAGGTCAGGAAAAGGAGGTTAGAAAGAGAACCCATCTGGCCCAGCATCCCATCAGTGTCGGCGCTTCGCTTCTCAGGGAAGAACAAGGCAACAACAACAACAACAACAACAAAAAAGCTCCAGTGCAAGGCGAGGCCGAGGCCTCGGTAAACTTTTCTCGGCTCATCCCTTTTTAACATTTAAAATAATCGCCCTATGTTAATTACGGCACAATGCAAAACGCACTGAGAGCCACTTTTCACTCCTGCCCCCCCCCCTTCCACTAAAAAATAATAACCTAAAGGCACAGGGAGTTGGTTGGCTCAGGTCCCGGTGCCATAACCGGTGTAAATAAATAAACTCTCAGAGTCGCGGCGCAGGCTGCCTTTTTATTTATTTACACAACGCTGGGGCGGGTTCGCTTAAAGAGGAGTGGAAGCCAGTGCCCAAGCCCGGCTGCCAAGGAAGTGTAGCTTTTCGGGCACGGGGCCTTCGCAAAGAGGCTACCTGAGCACCTCCCCCAAAGCAACTGTGATTTAGACGGGTCTAAAATTTGTCAGGAAACCAAGACAGAAGCGCGCGGAACGCTGGGCCCCCTAAATTCTCCAGGACTCAGACGGCAGCTCCCACCTGCGTGAGAAAAAATCTCCCCAGAGGAAACTGCGTTCTCTTGAACCCGGCGTTTCCTAACTGCCCTGAATGTCTGCTCCGCTCCATTTCCCGATTCTCGGGCTCTGTTCTCAACTTCATTCCTGAATTGTTCTGGGATCTATGCCTCGTTTGGCCTCCCCTCAGTTCTATCCGAGGCAAGGCCGGATGGTTTTGTTTTTCAATGAAAAAGTCCCCTTTCACTTGTCTTCCACTCCCCACCTCCCAGGGCTGGGGCAGACGTCACGTTTCTTCCCTGGAAAGTCACTCGTGCCCCAGGCCCACAAATCTCAGGTCAGGCTTTGAGGGTCTAGACCACCCCATGCCCTAGGGGCAACACGGGTCACAACCAAACTTCAAACTAAAAATCCCTTTTCGGCTTGCTACACAAAATTCCAAGAAAAGCACAGCTGTCATTTTCGTCTGAATAAGAAGATAGCCCTGCTCTCAGGACTTAAAACTCTTTTTTACCAGTACTCAAATCTTGCCCATAAAAAAAAAAAAGGAGGACAGTTTAGGGGAGTTTAAATTAATTTAAAGGACATGACACTAGAGGAGGTGATAGCCAGGAGACTACTGTGTTGGGTTGCTAGGCCACTTTGAGAACCGTCGGAGTGATCCCGCGGCCGGCTGTTCACGGCGTCCAAACGTGAAAAAAGTCAGAAGCCTGACAATCTCACCGCACGCAGACCCCTAACGGATCAGAAAGAAGCCGGGAGAACAGATCTGGGGCTGGGCTAGAAGCCAAGTCACTCCCTGAACCCAGAAAAGTTCAACCCAGAACCAGGCTAGGAAACCAGCGGAGCCCCACTCAGGATTTCCTAGCATCCAGGTTCTGATAGCCTGGGCTAGGTGGAGCTTCCAGCCCAGTCAAGGTTGCAGAGTTTGATGGTGGGGTAGGGGTGGGGGTGGGAGCTACTGGTTGGCCTGAAGCTTCCTCGGTCCTGGCGGAGGCTCCAGTTACTCGTTTTCCCCAGAAGACCGGGTGGCGTCAGTAAAAGCAGCCCCAAGCCCGAGGCTCTGAAGCCTAGATTTGCTCTGCGTGCTCTTCCGATTACCGACCCTGCTTCTGAGACCTAGGGCCTGGTTGTCCCTCCACTCCTGCCGCGCTCCTAGCAAAGCCCAGGGAGAGATTTCTCCTCAACAGGCCCAGTCGACTATGTCCCCAAGATCCGGCCGGTGATTTGGAAGCTAGTGGCGAGTAATAGGGTAGTGGGGGAGAAATAGGGAAAGCTGGGGGTCCTGGAGCTCAGCTCCCCGCAGGTTTGCTTACTCCAACCCAGGCAGGCAAGAGGTCAGGAGGTCGTCAGAGCTAGGGCCTCACTGGAGCTGAGCAAAGAAGGTGACAAGGACCTGGGGGAGGCCCAAGCCAACAGCAAGGGACTGATGCTACGGTCGCCCTCTAACCTCTGGAAGCCTGAGCCACTTCCGGGCTCCGCACTGAACTTAAAAAACCCCTTGCAAGTGAGCCCGGGGAGGAGGAGCGGGAGTAAGGTGGGGAGGAGTATAGAGTGGAGAGGAGAGACAAAAATATAAAATGAAAGTCGGGGTTTGGCCAGTGTTTCTGTGTCTTCGATCTTTGGGCGCAAGGGTACGTTGGAGGAGAGGCAGGGCACCAAGGTCCCGGGCGCTCTGAGCGCCCGCGGGACTTGGCCGCCAACTTTGGAGGCAGCTCCTTCCGGAAGACTTGAGCATCCTAGCCCCTGGCCGGGTGCTTCCAGCTCGTCCACCCAAGCTGCCCGAGAACCCTAAAAGCCAGGTCTCTGGCTTCCGGCTCCCTCCCGCCCAAGACCTGAGGCAGGGGTCAGCGATGGGCGGGAGGATCAGAGTGAAGGAAGGAGGAGCAGAGCAAGGGAAAGAGAGGAGAAAGGGGAGTCACTCACCGAAAGAAGTCGTTCTTGCAGTAGAGCTTGCCCTCCCGGGAGAAGCATTTCTCGGTCAGGTTGCATTTACATTCACAGCACTGGACGCATTTCACATGCCAGGCCCTGTCCAGCACGTTCAACAGAAACCGGTCCAGGATGGGCCTTTTGCAGCCGGCACAGTGCACCATTGTCTTTGGTTTAACTGCGGGGGAAGGGGGGATCAGGGGGCTCAGAACAGGGCAGGCAAGTCTAGAAGAGGAGGCGACCCCCTGAAGAGCACCAACAGGAGCCTCCGATCCCCCTCCTCTTCCCTCAAAAAAAGAAAAAAAAAAAAGGTGAGAAAAAGAGACACCCAGACAGATTCGCTGGGTTGTGCAGAATCGAAAACGCACACCAAAATGTTTTTTTTTCCTTAAATGAAAAACAAACAAAACCGGAAGAGGGTAGGAGAAAAAAAGAAGAAAAAGAAAAAAGAAAAAGCGTGGCCCAGGAGGAGGTGGGCGGGAGTAGTCCCTGGGTCAGAGCTGGGGCAGGCGCAACTCCTGGGGCTGGCAGACGGAATCCCGGAGGGGAGAGCGACCCGTGGGCAAGGAGCTGGCTGAAGAATGAAGGTCACCGAGAACCGCGGGAACCAAAATAAATAAATAAAGTCGGAGTGGCGAGAAGACAGTGGAGAACGGTCTATATGGAAACCACCCAAGCGATGAGTTCTCTCAGGTCTGAGGTAGGCGCAGTCAGAAGTCAAAGTGCATTTGCTTTTGTCTTGGGGTGTCTCTGTCTGAGTGTCTCAGGGGTGCAGGTATGTGTGCTCGCGCGCGTGTTTCTCCACAAAGCGATTTAAAAGGGGGGGGGGAATAAATGAAAATTTAAAAATGAGTGAAAGAGCTTTGGATTCTAAACTTCCAGCATAGCCCAGTGGGTCGAGGGGTGGGGGGAGAAGAGAATGGAACGCAGCACTTGGCCTGGAGGAGGGGGGTGGGGATGGGGATGGAGCGAAGAAGGGAGGGGGGCAGCAAGACAGGAGGCGCCAGCTGAGGCGACAAGGGGAGGAGGGAGGGGAAAGCTCTTGTTGGCTTGTTGGTTTTGCTTGTTGTTGTCTTTTTTAAAAAAGCAATGTTTGTATCAATAAAAACTGGACAGAGAGGCTTCCACTAGGAAGGTCGCCTAGAGGCACCCTAGCTGCCTCTCCTTTGCCCACGGCCCCTTTGCCTGGGTCTCTTCGGGGCGGCCCAGCGGGTTCTGCTTACTCCCCTCTCGTTCTGCTCCTGCTGCCGGGGAGGCCGGATCCTCAGTTCAGCGCGCCCGGTCAACCATTTCTCTGGTCACAGCTCCCCGCCAGCTCCGCGCGCAGTCCCGCATTGCTCGGCCAGCTTTGTGGATGTGGGTGAGTGTCCAGGAGGCAATCGTTGGGGGCGGGGGGTGGGGCAGAACTGAGGTTTTTTGCCCACTTCTTTTTTCTTTCTTTCCTTCCCCCCCTCCCGCCTTTTTTTTTTTTTTTGGTTGCGGTTGCAAATACCAGTGCCCTTTCTCGCCTCCTAATTTTTTTTTTTCTTCCAAGGGTTAGAGAGGGGGCAGGTCCTCACAGATCGCCAAAAAAATCCCTATAGTCCTAGTGACCACCGCTTCCACCAGGTTTGCACAGATTGTGTCTCCTGCTGCCTCCGCCGCGGCTCGTGGCTGTCTCTCTCCCTGAGTGCCTGTCCCCAGTCCCCCGTCCCTGTCCGTGCGTCTCTCCCAGGCTCCGGCGGCGTCGTCACTGCTCTCGGCTGTTCCCAGCCGCTCTGGAAGCCCCCTAGCCTTAATGCAGCGCTCGACGACGTCACTGCGGGCGGCGGCCAATCAGCGACTCGCGGTCCCTCTGTAAACCATTATCCATCCCGGCGGCCGGGGAGAGTGCAACGAGACCGCTTATAGAGAATCAGCCGCGGTACCCGCGGCAAAGTGCGCGGCGCGGCGTGGTGCGGCGGCCCGGAGACCAGTCCTGACCCGGTAAGGCAACAGCAAGCCTGGGAGAAAGAAACGCGGTGAAGGGAGTCTAGGGGCAAGAGGCCAGGTAGCTGCAGGGCTGGGTTTTGGGGGGCGGGGGGGGCGGGGAGGGGGCGGGGGCGGGAGTTGGAGGACCGAGCGTTGTCCAGGGTCGTGACTTCGCCGGTGAGCACGGGATTGGATCTGGGCACATGGTCGGGTTTAAGAATGCAGTGGGGATTTATTTGTCCCTTTGACTTTCTGGGGTCTGCAGCACAGAGTGCGTCTTTTGGGGAAATTGGTGAGAGGACGGTGGGTAGCCGAAACTTCTTCCTCCCTACTGCTATTTGCTCGGGCCTTCACCCTTTGCCCTTCCAACAGCCACTCTCCTCTCCCCTATCCTCCCTTACTCTCCCCTTCCCCCAACCCCGTAGCCACATCCAAGGGACTCCGCGCTCTGGAAGGCTTTGCTTCCTTCCCCCCCGCTGGGCGCTCCCTGAAAGTAGTTTAGACGCTTTACAGATGAGAGCGGGGTTGTGGTGGTGGTGAGATAGGTGGAAGGGCTAGAAGCCAAAGGCCAAGACTGGGGCGGGGGGGCTAGAATGGGAACAGCTTGACGGATGAGGAGTTGCAGCCAAGGCAAGAACCAGTGAGAAAACTTGTGAGCCAAGAAACCTCAATTCAGTATGAAATGGCTCGGCGGGAAGTCGTAGGACAACTCCCGCGACGGCTCTGAGGGGAGATTGAAGGAGGCTCTCGGGGGTGCCCTAGGCAGCCTGGAATGCCAGGGAGCTTATTGGGCACTGGGGAAAGGGAATTGACTCTCAGATCTTCCCTCCCTCCTCATGCTCTAGAGTCCGACGTCCACTCTCCCAAAGCTTCGGATCGTCCTTTACTATGGTCTTGTTAATTCCCCTTCACTCAGGCCCTAAGGCTGATTCTTGAACCCTCTCCAGTCCCAGGGCCATTTCCCGCCAGGTGTGCTCCGGTGTCCTGTGTTGCTCGAAATGGGGCGGATGGGGACGGCGGAGGCGGGGGGCGATGAGGTCTGAGTCGGGCGGGCAGGAAACCGGCACCTAGAGATCCCAGATTGTTCCCTGCTGCAGATCTGTTCAACCCTAAATTCCATTTCAGGCACTCAGTCTCCGCTGTTAATCGGGATTTTTCCTGAGATGGGGCCTGCAGATGGTTAGCTGTTCGAGGCGGGATCGGCTCTCCTCCCGGTATTTCCCTCTCCGCCTCGAGATCACATTTCCGCATGGTGTGGTGTATCTAGAGAGGTCGGGGTTGGAGACGGCGGCGGCAGCTTCAAATTCCTTCCATATGGGACTTGTCATTTCTTTGACTAAGGTGACCTTGAGGGCCAGCCCTAAGCAAAGGGAGGTTCAGAGCACCATGTCAGGGAGCCCGGAGTGGGCTTGGTGTCCCGGCTCCCAGCCGAGGAAAAGACTTCTCTCCCCAGGAACTCGATTCACCTCTTCCAGCGAAAGCGAGAAACGGCTACAACGAATTCGTCTTTGACTCGTTACGACCTTCAGGGTTTCGGGTCCTCCAGACTCCCCTTTCATTTACCCTTCTTTTGAGAAAGAAACCTGGCACTCCTCTGCCGAGCCGGGACAGCCGCAGGCCTTTGAGGCAGCCACCTTTGAGCTAAAACCAAATCTGAGGCCTATGGCCCAGACCTCTCGCTGCCTGCCCAGCCCTGACCTCTCTCTCCTGTCTCTGGGCGTGGGGCTGTCCCGGACCTTATCCTTTCTAGGATGGAGGGAAAGGCTGAATTTTCCTCCTTTCTCCTCCTCCCTAGGTGTGAACCCCAGGGACAGCGGAGACCCCAATTAAAAAGTTTCTCAACCAGTTAACTAAGTCTTCTAAGCTCTATGAGTCTCTTCAGGAGTCGGGCCCCTGATGTCTAGGTTTCGGGGTGGGGAAATTGGGAAGAGACCGAGGCTCGGGTGACTGCTTCCTTCTGCTCTGTCTGCAGACCTAATGTCCAATAGAAAATTGGTCTACTGGAAGAGGAAGTTCCAGCACCGAAACAGTTTCTTCCAGTGTCCTTAGACGCTTAAGGGCCCCCGAACTACCTCCCCTCATTGAGGTCGAAGTTCGAGTCTGGGGTGAGGCGGCTGTCCCATCGAGCTGGGGGCCCCTTCTCCCCCGCAGCTGTCCCGGTTCTCGCCCGCTGGCTCCCTCGATCCAACCGCCCCTCCCTAGAATCAATAGCTACCCGAGTCCAGGGCGGCTCACCCCCCGCCCTTGGCCCAGCTGGGTTCCTTCTCATGCAAAACAGGGGGAACCCTGGGGGCTGGGGACCTATAGGGTGACAGCTGGACCGGGCTGCCGCCCCTCCCGAAGTCTGAGCCTCGGAAGCGTGTGGGTGGAAAGGGGACGGCTCCGGGACAGTAGCCTGAACCTGCAGCCCATTTGGGGACAAGGGACTAAATCGGGCACCAGCTCCGCGTTCCTGCTTGTGCGCAAAAGAGGGCACGGCCACTCAACTCACCCCACCTCCCGGCACCCACTTTGAGAGCAGACCAGAAAGTCAAAAGTAATAATTGGTGTTTATATATAGCACATTAAAATACGTAAAATATTTCACACACAGGCTATTCGTATTATTGTAGAGTGCAGCGAAGGAGAGAGGAGGACTTTAAGAAATTAGGAATCTGTCTCTTGCATCTCCCAAGATGACTTAGCAGGTTCCCAGGTGAATTGGAGGACTCAGGCGGGCAGACTCATTTTCAAGGGACCCTATTAGAACTTAAATTCAGACCTTTTACAGTAACATGCCATCAGCTTTCTGAGTCTTCTGTTTGTGTAGAATACTGGAGCAGTGACATTTTACCTAAATTATTGCTGAGAAGAGTGATTTCCAAATCCTAAAAGCCCCTGAACTGGAATCGTCGGGAGTACACCGCTCATCTAGTCCACCGGCTGCACAAGTTTCCCTTGCTCAGCCACGCTCAAATGCGTTATGTATGCACATACACAGAGCATGTCATTAACATGCACAAACATACAGGAACACACGCACGCTCACACTGATATGCACACAATCATTCATAGTCCCGATGCTGCCCCACGAAGGGTTACTTTCACCAACGTCTGGAGGGTCTTCTTGCTCAGCCACTGCAGCATTCATTCTTAATAGTTCCTAGTTTTCCTCCCACGCAACCCCCAAATCACGAGAAGGACAGGATCAGATTCTCTCTCCTAGGACGCAGCA